ACTGATTGGCCTCCAAGCCACTGTTGCTGGGAGCATAGAGAAACTGGCTAAGGCCTTTGCAGGACTTTACACCTAGACATAAATTCCTCAATTTATTCTTGGATACTTGGTCAATGATATCACAGGCTCAAAGGCCCTCACACAGAACATTAACTCCCCTGGCGGGGGGGAATACATCCAATCAACAAACAGCTCTCCCCTCTCCCATCCTCTTCCACTATCAACAAGTTGGGAGGCAGATCTGAGCTTTTAGCTTCTGATCCCCTTATCAGTTGTCCCTGTAATAATGCTCCTTTCTGCAAGAACCCAGTGCTGTGGTATTGGCTCCTATACATGTTGGGCCCTAGCCCTTGCTTGATGACAATGGTATTTGGATACTGAAGAGAGATGCTTCCTCCTCAGGAGTATTTCTTTCTTTCTTTTCTACTGCTCCACTCTTAGACCCACAAGGATCACAATAACGTGCAGGCTAGTCGCTGAGAACTTGACCTCTGACTCCTCCCAGCCTTGAGGGTCTTCATATAGATCCCTTCACATTTTCAGATATATAGGAACAGTAAGAGGGCTCAACAATCTGTGCAGAGGCAATGTAGGTCACCAGGACTATGTGTCCACACTCAAAAGGAAGTACATAATGAGAAAAATTAATTAGTAGTTCTGTATGCCTCAGAACTCCCACAAAGCAATCATACGAATGTATAAATTCTTCCCATGAAAACAATTTTTACTGAAGTCCATTAAAAATTAAAGAAGATTTTTCCATTAAACTTTTTTTTTAATTAGCTGCCAACTTTTTATTTATTTATATATGGACTTATTCCAGTAGGGATTTGAGGCATATAACAAAAATGCATACAGCATGATGGTCTTAAATCAAATGAAGAAATAAAGATAAAGCAAAGGAAATTGGAGTAAAGGGTATTATTTACCAATTCATTGTAAGACAAAAAACTCAAGAGTCATCAATTTTGTACTTGTAAAAAATGTATAGTTGGCTCAAATATACAAATATGGTTTTGTTGGACACAGAATTAGGTATTTATAAAACAATAAGTTAAGTCTTGCCATTTTAATTTTTTAATAATAAGGAAGATGACTTAAATTTGAACTGGGTTATACTGCAAAAGAATGGAACCCTGGGCTTTCTGAGTAAGCTGTGCTGAAGACAATGGATATGAGTAACCCTTCCAATAAAAAATCAAGGACTGTGTGCTGGATTCTGTGCTAAGCCTGAACCTCCACTGCTTTTGTCTCTTTTGGAAGAGAACCAGCTTCACTGGTGCAATGTGTGAAACCTGTAGTGGACTGGCTTCTAAGGGTGGAAAATAGCAGTATTCACTGCTCTGTGATGGTCTGGACTCAAAGGTCTTTGAGGGCGGCAACTGCCTTAGGAACTTCTTTTCATGTCCATCCACAGGGCTTTGCAAAATGCCGATCACTCCACAGCCATTCTATCCTTTTGTAAAACTGATTGCTACTAAAGTGCTGGCTACTTTGGGATATACAAATATGACAGAAACCTTAATCCATGTCCTGAAAGAGTTTATATCTGAATACTTTGAATGATTAAAAATATATGAAAAGAATAGTAATCACTTAATGGTACTGACCTGGAAATTTGGACTTATTTTATCATTTATAGTAACACTGGTCAGTGACCTTGTTAAGTAGAAGAAATATTGTTTTGCAGATCAGGAGATTAAGACCAAGAGGGCAAGTAACTTCTTAACATCACATATTAAAATAGGCAGAATTAGGGCTTGTGAACAGGTTTTCTGACTAGTAGCTTAGTTTTCTTTCTATCATACTATAATGCCTTTCCTTATATATAAGAATGAATAAACTATGTATGCATCTGTTTATTTGTGTTATTCCAAATGCCATGCATGAATCTGAAGGAATTTGACAGAATCAGAGTAATAAAGGGATTCAGCAATTCTCTTCCTCCCCAACCTGGCCCGGCCACCAGACTTACCATGTGGTTGACGCTGGTGAAGGGGGTGTTGTCAGTGATGGTCTCAAAGGGAGACCGGGCCCCATTGCCATCAGTGGGGGCAGCCACTTCCCAGCTGAACTGCACGGATGTCTGGTTGATGCCTGCCTCGCTGCAGCGCTCCTTCATGACGGCATACCTGGGGAAGTGAGGGTCACAGGGTGTGACACAGACCAGAGGGTAGCCCGGAGAGGGGGCCTTCTTGACTCCTTCCTTGGTAACCTCTTCCACGTGGTCGTAGTCAGCAAGGGTGACAACCTGAGAAAGGCAGCAACGCTTCAGGTTAGGTTGGATCTTGGGAAGATTGGAGATCCCTTGCCCAGAGACACTCTGATCATTTAATTTCTAGGGATTCTTTAAAATTTAACGGAAGGTTTTATAATCCTTTGCCGGGTACCCTTAAGGGCCTTGCATATCTTTAGTGGTGCAGGAAATCCTCCTACTGCCTGAGCTAAGAGCTTTATTGTCCTGTTAACTGCATTCCAAGTCGATTCTTATCACGCATGTAAAAAATACTTTCATTTTCCTGCACATGGAACCAAAGCTATATTGTGACTGGCAGTTGCTAGCTTAAAGTTGTATTAAAATGTTATCCATACATAGTAGCACACCCAGTATAATAAGAGTAAACAAAGGTAATGCATTTCTTCCATAGCCAAACAAGAAACACAATTTGAAATAATCTCCTGTTTTAAAATGTAGGAGAGTAGTTAAGGGAGGTTAGAAGGCTTGTTCTGACTGCACTATTAGGTGTTAAATAACCCCTGGTGATCTCAGGCATTTTCCTCTTAAATGCAAAGTCTGTACAATTCATTCTGTTCATCCTGAATTGGGAAGCACAGTACCACATTTCTGCATATACTTAACTCTCTTTGTGGGGTGAATAAGTTGGATAATAGATTGGGAGTTCTACTTTCTTATCTTCCAGGCCCTACCAGAGAAAAATGTCTTTATCAAGCTAAGCTACCTACATGATTTGGTCTTACTCTTACGTCAGAACAAGGCTTCTCACCCTTGGCCCTATTAACATTTGTGCCAAATAATTCTTTTTGTTGTTCTGTGCATTGTAGGTATTTAGCAGCATCCCTGGCTTCTACCCACTGGATGCTAGCTGTGACAGCCAAAAATGTCTCTGGACATTGCCAAATGTCCTCTGGAGGGAGAGAATGGTTGGCTAGATTCTTCTGGTTGAGAACCGTTGTTAGAAGAACAAAGAAGTAGTAGCTCACCAGAAGTCCCATTTCTCTCAAGTTCTCATCTGCTATTCACTAAGACATAAAAGCAGCAATCCTAGGTGTCAAGCAACTCACAATAGGTGGCGCTGGCAATATGAGACTTCCTGCTGCCTCCTGATCTAGAATTGTCACTGTGGCAGTAGTCACATCCCCAAGAACTGCTTCCACTGGGTCATCGGGGCCAAGGACTAGAGAGAAGGATTCATGCCATTCCCGGTCTTCATTGGACAGAATCTCCACTTTAAAAAAGATGTGATCCACACCTTCACCAAGGACAGAACAAAAAGAGAGCAAAAACCTTATTAGTAGACATACCTAAGAGAGCACAGGCTGGCACTGCTGAGATGTCAAGTTAAAATATAACCTTTCCTTACAGAAGTTTTCTAGATATGCAGTGACTTCTAATCACTTTAGCCCCATCCTAAGTGAGGAATCTGTTTGACAGACCAAATTCCACCTGTGGTAGAGGCTCTGTCCTAGAGATTACTATTCAGCACCATATGAGGATTAATGGCCCCTGCCTGACACACTGGCTGGCAGTAATAAAAATCTATGATCCAAAATATGCTTCATCCTGGTTACAAGTTTTTTTTTCCTTAATTTTCTTTTCCCATTTACACTTAAGCATGAGCTTCTGTGTGGCTGTGAGCACTTGCATACTCTTCTAAATTGCCTCCTAAGAAGCAGTAGGGGCCAGGTCCGTCTCCACAAAAAGATCACACTGTGGAGGTTTAGCACCTGGAAGAGGGTTATAAACCCTTCCTTTGCTGTAAAATGATTCTTTGAGTATACAAACATCCCTGATCATAAGTAAGGACCTTTCTTCCTCTCCTAGAGACATCAGGACCAGCTTGCTTCCAGATCTATCTTTCCTCCAGATCCCTATGGAGAAAAGAGGGGTCCTTCTGCAAAAGTGGAAGAAGAGCTCTTCTTTTCCTGCAAGCATCAACTAGACACACATGGGATGGAGCTGGAAGCCCATTAAGGCTCCAGTGAGCAGAAGAGATACACAGGGACCCATGACCACCAGCCTCCACCATTTCTGAGTCACCCTTTCCATCCACTTGCTAGGACATCTTTGAAAAGTCCTAATACTGCTATTCACCTCTGGCTACACTAAGAAATGATGCCAGGATGTATACCAGCTTTTCACTTTACACTGCTCCAGAAAGTTCTAAGAAAAAACCTAGCATACAATTCAACTCTTTACTTGGTCCATTCTCCTCATCAAATCTTCAGACAGACACCTGGTTGTGATCTATTTTGTCTTTCACTCTTTTCTGGCTTATCTCCATGTTTCTCTCTGGGGTACACTTGTTTTGGAAAGCCTATAAAAAGGCGTGTGTGTTTCCTAGTAGAAGTGAAATCAACTTGAGCATAGGGATTATGCCTTCCAGATTTTAGCAAGCTCTGAAGGATCCAGTGCATAGCTTTGCACCAATGATTGTTGAAGGATGGATATATATTTTAAAACCAAGTGTTCCTATCATTCAACCAAACCACAGGATACAAAAAATACCCTTTTAAATAAACCAAAATGCCCAGCATGTTCTAATGTTAGAGACTTTTAAATCCATGCCATGATTATGAATTAAGTTTTACTTGCAACCTCAAATATATGCTCAACAAATGCATTATGTTATTGCCACAACTTTGTTTCTCTGCTCATTCCTTTCTTCGCATACAAGGTAGTCATCTCTCCATTAAGAAAACCCACAGATTGGAATTGGCATTCAATTACCAGGATTGAATTTCAAGACTCGGCTCTTTGGGTAATAATCCACACCAGACTGGGCAGATCCATCCCGAGTGCTACAGCGAATCTTGGAGGTCCTGTTCTGATCCCCTCTTCGGATCACCTTGATGTTCAGAATTGCAATGGCATCTGGTCCTGCGGGTTCCCGGACTTGGTATGCAGCTTCTTCAAACTCAATGGTGGGTGCTAAGGAAACACGGTTAGGAAAACAAGAGCAAGTCAGAATAGCATAAAAAATCCGGACTCCCAAGCAAATACCATATAATGGCAAGAAATACCTTATAATGACAAGAGGGAACAATTCACATTAGTTAACAATACCAAGGCAAAATGGCTTGTAGTCATAAAAATCAATCAGCATTTACCCTTAAGCAATGCTTTGGAAAAAGGAATTTATTTGTGATCCTGTAGGAGTTATTTCTCACATGTGTATTAAAAACAATATAATGGGGGAAATAGTTTTTAGAGACTTTGAAGTGCATGATGTCCAAGTTTCTGTTTTTTGCTCCTAGAATGTTTTTAAATTTGCACAATTTATCAAGAGACTGAGACATAGTGGACCCTTGGTAAATAGCTATTGACTGATGCTATGAATCGACTTTTTATTTATAAGCTATGAATTTCTAAGGATTATAATTTATCTCATTTATATACTACTTGAGTTACCAAATCTATCCTTCATCTCTGGTTTTCTGGATACACCCTCCCAGTACTAGTACCTACCCACAATCAGCTATTCCTAACTCTTCACTGGTTATTTAGGTAAGCATGGTTAGTTTTAGCAATTGGCTACAATGATAATTCAGGAACTCAAAACTTTCTAATATTATCTGATATGAGGCATTCCTGTCATTATTAGGAAATGATTAACAATTTGGCTTTTTTTTTCCAAAAACTATTTAAATCATGTCTTCTTTTCTAGTACATTCTCATGGGGGAAGGGCAGGGTGGTGGTCATAGTGATAACAGAGAGTGAGATTGAAGAGATGGGAAAATTGGGAGCAATTACAAGTTTTATACCATTTTAGGATATTATTAGTATATTGTAGATGTTTCTTGTCTGTTTCCCGCTCTTCCTTGCTCTTAGTCTTTCTAATTGTAGAAGACGAACCTTACTTGAGACTTTAGAGTTTTCAGTAAGAATGGTTGCTAAAATGAGGAAGGCTGCTGGAACAGTGGAACTGTTACCTCGCTGAGCCTCCATCATTGGGTTATCTGGGTGCTGGGAGAGGCTCACTTCAGGATTTGAACCTAAATCTATTTGGGTGAAGGGCTACTTCAACGTCAAGGCTGGCTGTTCTTATTTTACATGATTCCAAAGCAGTTCCTGATTTCTCATTAGGAACCCTACAAATCTCACTAACTCTCTCAGTAGTTAAGAGTGTAGATTTTAGCCAGGCATGAGGGCACATGCCTGTAATCCCAGTGGCTCAGGAGCTGAGACAGGAAGATTGCAAGTTCAAAGTCAGCCTCAATAACGTAGCAAGGCCCTAAGCAACTTAGTGAGAACCTGTCTCAAAATAAAAAATAAAAATAGAAGGGCTAAATATGTGGCTCAGTAGTTAAGTGCCCCTGGGTTCAATCCCTTGTGCAAAAAAAAAAAATATATATATATATATGTATATATATGTATATATATATAGATAGATAGATAGATAGATAGATATAGATATAGATATAGATGCATGTGCCCTCATGCCTGGCTAAAAAACTGGATGAGAACCAATTCTAATATATATATATATATATATAATATTATATATATTGGTTCTCATCCAGTTTTGCTGCTAACAGTTTTGCAATTAACAGTTCAAATTACATAACTTTGCTGTAGTTTCTTCTCCTAGGTAAGAAAAACTATTTCAAAGGATTACTGCCAGGACTGAGTGAAATACTATAACATGGTTAGCATGTACCATAAATATTCAATAAAAATCAGATATTGCTGTTTGCAATATTTTATATAGTTACTCATTAAAATATCTACTTTAATAACAGTGAAGTCCTAATTCAAAACAGGATTTGTTTCTTCTTCTTCCTGGGCCACTCTTTGCAAACACCTGACTATAGAATATAAGTTGGGTTTTTGTTGTTGTTGTTGTTGTTGCTGTTGTTTTAGGGCAAATCAGTTAGAAGAAGCTGAAAAATTGAACTTTTCCAGGAAGGTAGCAGTGTTTTAAATCAGTTCCTTGGAGTCAACTGATTCTGACTGTATTTCTGAATCCGCTCCTGATCTGCAATGACTTACATGGTTTCTATTCTCTGTGTCAGCATTCTGTCCTAGCTTTTAATCATACTTATTCCTTATCTTTTGGCAATATGTAGGGAATAGTGAGATTAGAAATCCCCTGAACTTATCAGAATGCCGTAGAGGGTGATCACTTGCTGCAAACATTTGATATATACATTCAGAGACTGTTATTAGTAGGCACTTCCACAGCATTTTTGTTTTTCAAATATCATTTCATGTCCCATCAACCTAAGAATAACTAAAGGCAATTTCTTTTGTTACCATCTTCATCATTGGATATGGTGATGGTGGCCATGTTATTTTTTCCAACTTTGGCTCCACTCCAGTGGTTTCCAAGAGGATGGCCAAGGTAGACCCTGAACTGCTCCTCGGGCTCAAACATGGAGTCATCATGGATATAGACCGTGCAGTTCTTTACCTAGAGGCAATGGCACAAGATAAATTAAAATCTATAGCAAGGAATCAGTAACTGGCTTGGTTTTCCTAGGAAACTATTTTTCTTCTTTTCAACATCAAAGAGTCAACATGAATTCAAAAGGATCCAGTTGCAGTCCTAAAATAGAATGTTTACATCTAACAACTCATGCCTGAGGGGAACTCACCTAACTAATGGGACTGGTATTAGAACATTTCAAACCCTTTTGACTTATTGGTGATGAGTTGTGAAAACCAAAATTAATAAAACAAATCACCCACTAAAAAGCACCTGTAGAACATTTGTATGCTTTCCCACATGTTGCCTCGGCTGCTCAGTATGTTTGCATGTGTTACAACAGACCTCCAACAATGGGTATTTGACATATCATTGGACTTCCTGGATGTCTGCATAACACACTTTTTCCTTCTGAAAACTAAATGGTTTTTAAAGAAACTCAAAGCGTCTTCATGTTAGGCTAAAGATCTTTAAATTTTAAAGAACTCTCAAATCTGCTGCCAAATAGAATCTTATTTGAAAACTGTTGAGAATTGAAAATGAGAACACAACCCAATACCTGTTTGGTGGAGAAAAGTCAAGTGTTTCTCAAACTGAATATTCTCCAGTGAGGATTGCATTTTTGAAAAATGTAAAACAAAATCACAAAATTTTAGATAACATACCAGCCTCGGTAGTAGATCTATGTGATATGAAGTGAGATATTTTTAGTTGGATCATTTTAAATTTACTATCTTATTACACTGCAAAGGATATGTGGGCAGAGAGTTCACTCTGATACGTCCTAAGTCATAATACATGGTAGGAAGGAATCCCAGTGAGCATTTATACGTTACTTGTTAACCTGTTTTAAGTCCTGAAGATTGTTTTCCTTTTCTTACATCTTTCCTAGAATAAGAATTCCTTATAGAAAGCATGAAATTAATGGTGATTCATGGGATTCTTTTAAAAAGATATTACAGTATATGCCAAGACCCAAATTTTGTTTTGCAAGTCAAAGAAATGGAGATTCTAAAGCATGCTTAGGAATGATGATAGATTGTCATGTGAGTAACATACAGACTATTAAGCTGTATTTTCTTTATACTTTCATTAAATTAAAATTCTCTCTTAAATAGACAGACCATCCGCGTTTGAACTTAAAGCAAATACAGACGTGTAGACTCAAAGCTGAAGATTATATCTGTAGTGTTTGCATGTGTTCACAAGCATGTTTCAACCTTCCATGAGTAAAATTCCAATAAAATATACAACTAGGACAGGCCTTTATGAGTCATGGGTGTGTAAAATTCTTAAAAGTCCCAGAGAACAAACCTATCTTTTTTTGGTAGTAGAGATGAATAGAGGACAAATTTGGAGTGAGTTACAATGGGTAAGGTCTTGGGCTAAATTTCAAAAAGACAAAATTTTGATTCATTTGATTACATCAAGATTGAAGAACTTCATTGAACTATGAAGACCATAGGAAAGTGACAGAAAGAGAAAGATATATATATATATATATATATATATATATATATAGACATATAGATAGATAGATAGATATTACACTATGTAAAACTGGCAAAGAATTAACATTTAGGATATTTAAGAAAGTAGTAAAAGTTAGTAAGAAAAAGGTAATAAAATGATAAAATAAGTAACAAAGAAGAAAAATCTGCTCATAAGCTATTTGGAAGTCCAATAAGCTAAAAAGAATATAAAATAGTAATAATTATAGAATACAAGTTAAAACATGATATACCTTTATGCTTATAATTATCTCTGCAAAAAAAAGATGAGTAACGTTAAGTGTTGAAGAGGATGTAGGCTTGTAGCAACCCTCCTGCATTTCTAGTGACATTCTGGAAAGTATTCTTACACTTTTCCCCACCAAATTAAGCACATGCATGTCTTTTGGTCTAGAAATTTTGCCCCTGAGTAAAGAAATTCTCTCTTGAGTCTGTAAGTGGACATGTATGAGGATGTGCACTGAAACATTTTGAGGTGACGGAGTGTTAGGAGCTTTCTTGATGCAACCCCTGAGACTCCTTATCATCTATGGCTGAGTGTGCATAAGTGAAATATAGCAAATTACACATCATGAAACATATGTAACAGCCAGAAGTAACAGATTAGAGGTCCACAGACAGATCTTAAAACATACCGGTGAGTAACAACAGTAAAAAATTGAAAAAGACATAACATAATACAATTTTTATCAATTAAAACTCATGTATGCTAAATAAGAAGCACTTTTAATAGAACAAAAAAACAGAGATACAGATTAAACATAAAAGTTTGATGGGTGGAGAAGAGAATGTGGCTGGAAATGGAAGTAAAATGAAATGAATAAACAAACTGAAAATAAAAAAGGTGCTGACTAACGTGGATGTTGTGCCTTGAACCAAGAGGTACATCTGACCCAGTCATCTGAAATTGAGATTCAAAAAGGGGGAAATGGATTCTCATTCAATATAAACCTTTGACATACACTGTAGTTGAATCCTTTTATTCTGATGCAGCTGTGTTTAGTATGAGATTTTTCCCGAGTTCCCATGACCACATGCATGACTCTTTGGGTACGTTATCAAGAGAATACTACACTACGCTGACTCAAATCTGCTCAACATTTCTTTATTCAGTCCTGTGTTAGGATGCATATTATTTCGGGAGAAAGACCCAGATATCAGAGAACTATTTCTTAGTCCTTAAGTAACACCAGTGGAAAGTGTTACATTTGATGGAACTAAATTTCCAAAACATTGCACATTATTTAAATTTCCCAACTCAAACGATGATATATGTATTTGTTTGCAAGTGGGAGACAAAGAAGATAGTCAAATGGAATAGATGACATTATTTAAAATATTATTAATTGGTAAGGAAATTCCAAAATATGCTCCAAGTTCATTTAATTTACCTACCTGTGGACAAACAAAGGTGATAAGAAGAGAATGCTGTCTTTAAGCCACCACGGTTCCACTTACCTTCTCCCCTTTCAGAAATGTAATCCGTGAAGAATCTGCATTTCTTCTCTCCCCAAAGTCCTCCATGACCTGAGCTGAATGGCCCTGAGTGTAGCATCTCACTGATGACTCATAGCTCAAGTCTCCGCTCCGAATGATAGGAACATGCAGGACACCATCTTTCTCCTTCACTAGGAGCAAATCCTTAGCAAACTGCATGCTTGGCACTGGGTGAGCAGGTGGAGAGATGGAGGCATTGTTAGTGGGAGGCACAGGGATGCAGTGGCCATGGCACAGCTTGCAAACGGCCAACACAGGCCGACAAGTCACAGGTGCTAAGTGGATTTCACGCATGGTTGTTGCTCTCAGGCAAGGAAACTACTTCAACTTTGAATATGATTCCAATGAAACAGAAGAAATCAACTTTTCACCTGTCTTTGCTCAGCTTCAGGGTGTGGTCACCATCTCAAATGCAGGCAGGTGAAAAAATGAAACAGGTGCAAAAAACAAAACAAAACAAACCTGTGACAGTGACTTGGGTACTCAACACTTCACTTTAGAGCTACAATAAGGAAAACAGCAGGGCTAGTCTGATGGGCAAATGGCCTCTCACATTCTCATACTGAGGCCAGGTGACAAAAGGGAAGAGTGGACACTGACAAAGTGAGAAAGGCAGGTTCTGTTTAAAGACCTCCAGTTGCCAGATCTTAGTTTCAAATGAAGCCAGAGATCTGGGTGTTTTTCTGGATTTTTTTTTTTTTTTTTTTTTTACCTAACGTAAAAATAACAACAAATAAAATAAAATGGTAAAAATTAATTTCCATATAAGCCAAAATTATTGGGAGCAAACAAAACATATACACAGTCTGAATTTGGCTCCTAGTCTGTGACAGGTACTATAGTTTTATCTTTAATAAGTCATGTCTCATTGGTTTTTAGGAAGGCACCATAGCCAAACTGTAGTTAAAAACAAGGATTTGGGGGTAATTAGGCCTGATTATCCATTCCAGACTTACTACTTATTAACTGTATAGGGCATAGGACAAATTATTTAGACTTTCTGAGCCTTGGAGCTTTTTTTTTAATTGAAAAATATTGATATCTAACTTATAGAATTGAGAAGGTATTGAAAATACTCCCTCAATTAGAAAATATGTGCATGATAGTCAATACAGTATTGAGTATTGAAAAAACTCTCTCAATTAGAAAATATTTAGAAAATATGTGCATGATAGTCAATACATTATCTAGCTCATGGAAGCACTCAAATTTTGGTAGAAATTGATATATTATGATTTAGATTTGTCCCCTAACTTCAGGCTTCTCAACATGAAGAATCATTTTTTTCCTCTTTACTTCCTGCTGTGAGGCTCTGCATTAAGACATTTCCCCAAGCTCAATATTTTGTTGACTACTGGTTATTAATTTCTTTACCAACAATCCAGAGGGTCCTATGTCAAAGTCTCCTAAGGAAAATTAATCTTCAAGGCTGTAGGAAAGCCAACCTAAAGCTGTTACCACCTATTTCCTGGCTGCTTTCTGGATGTGTCTTGCCAAACCAGAAAGGAAGAAGCAGGAAGGGTTTCTGTAGGCAGCTCCCGGCTCTGAGAGTCCATGGGCAGAATGCTGTTTGCCTCTGACCTACACTTCCTTGCTCAGAACTATCGGCTTTGGCAAAAACAAAACCATCCCATCATCTGAACCAAGCCTACTAGCTATCAAATATTACTTAACAAAAGACAGATGAAAAGACACCTAAAGAGAATTAATAGCTTTGGCATTAAGCCCTATACATTAACCAGTGAGGACTGTGTCATCCAGACGAAGGCCTGCGCTGTTAAAAGGTAGGTAGCAATGACATCACTAGCTTTGGAGGACCTAAAGGAGGCTTGTTGCCAGGGAAAAAGCAAAACAATCAGGGAAGCTTTTTTTGTTCCTGGCAGACATCTCCAGCTCTAGATTGGTTTTTCCTGCTGGCCTGGCATGCTTCAAGTCAGATGAGAAAGTTAAGTGCTAAAGTGGTAATGTGGTAATGTTTAGGGTTTGTCAGGTACTTATCAACCCCCAATTCATCCTGAGCTTTAGAAGACTCCTCTTTAACAAGATACTC